ATCACACTGCAATGAACATAGGGCGCTTATGTTCCTTTGACTTAGTGTTTTGGGTTTCTTCGGATATATTCCCAGAAGTGGGATTGATGGATCAAAAGACAAACCCACTTTTACTTTTTTGAGGCACCTCCATACTGCTTTCCACAGGGGCTGCACCAGTCTGCACTCCTACCAACAGTGCAAAAGGGTTCCCCTTTGCCCTTCATGACAGTATGGATGGACCTGGATAACATTATGCTAAGTGAAAAGCCAGTCAGAGAAAGACAAATACCACATGATTTCACTCATATGTGGAATCCAGTGAACAAACTGAACTAAGAAGGGAGGTGGGGACAGACTCACAGATGGAGGGCAGGATGGCAGCTAGCGGGGTGAGGAAGTTAAGGGGTGGAGGGATTGAGCCAAAAAGGAAAAAGGACTCACGGACATGGACAACAGTGTGGTGATTGCTGGGGGAAGGGGGATATAAGGAGTCTAAATGGTAATGGAAAAAATACAATAAAAATAATAAAAAATAAAAATAAAAAAAGATTCTGTTGCTGCTTCATAGAACTATAAATTATATATTATAAATTATATCTTCTTTTTATATCCAGTTTCTGAAGTCTTGTTTCTTCCTCCTGCTCAGAGGAAACTTTCTAGGTATTGGTGGTGGGCTGAGCTAAAAAATGGAGCATGGGCAGGACTCCTCTTCTATGTCTTGTTTACCAAATGTTTTCAAAAATATGATTTCATCCTATTTGTGTGAGCAGTATGTCTACCTTATAACTTTCCGGTAACTAGACTTGCATGTATCTTTTGTGCTGTGGTTCAAAGACGAGTCATCCTCACCTGCATTGTTAAAGCCAATATATGCAGAATCCTAAAAGGAAAATAAATAAATAAATAAATAAAAATATGATTTGATTTGGTAGAAATATGGTATTACTTAATCTGTGCATTACTTAATTGGACAGTGACTCTCCTTTTAAATAAATTAATAGACTATTTTTTGTAAAAGAAGTTTTAGGTTTACAGAAAAATTGTGCAAAATGTAGAGTCCCCAAAAATTGCCTTTCTTCCCCCTCCTCCCAACTTCCCCTATTATCAATACCTTACATTACTGTAGTATATTTGTTACAATTGATGAGCCAATATCGATGCATTATTAATTAACGTCTGTTTTTACATTAGGATTTAGTCCCTGTACATTCTATGGGTTTTGATAAATTTTGAACATATATCCACTTGTACATATCACACAGGATAGTTTCACTTCTCTAAAGTCTTTTATGCTCTGCCTGTTCATCTCTCCCTAACTCCACTCTCTTCACAGTTTTGTCTTTTCCAGAATGTTAATAGTTTAAGTCATACAGTATGCAGCCTTTCAAATTAGCTTCTTTGACTTAGCAATACGCATTTATGATTCTCTCATGTCTTTAGTGTCTCAAGGGTTCATTTAGTTTTATTCCTGAATGATATGCCATTGTATGGAAGTACCACAACTTGTGTATCCATTCTTCTATTGAAGGACATCTTGGTTGCTTCCAGTTTTTGCAACCATAGATAAAGCTGCTAATATTTCGTGTGTAGATTTTTTGGGGACAGAAGTTTTCAACTCATTTGGGCAAATTCCAAGCGGAACAATGGTCCTTTTTCAATAAAACTTTTACATCTGATATTCATATCTTGGTAAATTATAATTTGCCTTTTGTAGCCAACTCCTATGCCCTCCCAATTACTTCCCCTTAGTACTGCTACAGTTCCTGCCACATACGAATCACAGGAATGCCGGACACACGTCAGCAACGTTGTCTCTAAAAAACAAGAAAATGCTTGAAAATCTTAGAGGAACTGTCTTGGTACACTTGATAATTATTGATAGACGTGGCCTATGAAATAGTACTGTTTCTGCAGGTGGATGTTAATGCCAATAGTTACTCCTACCAAAATGCGCTGTCTTGTCACTTCTGGTTCCTACAGTCATAGCCATCATAAGTTCTGCTTTTTTTTTTTTTTTAATGGTGCCCCAGCCTATTTACTCTGGTCAAAAACACGGTCTAATAAGGAGAGAATAATGACTTCAGAGATCATATGCTCTATAAATATGTTTGATATTGGGAAAATTTCTTAGCATTCCTGATCCTCAGTGTCCTGTGAAATGGGCAATAATATCCACCTTGCAAGGTGGTGCTGAGGGTGGGAAAGGTGTGCATAAAGCCTGGCATATTGGGGGCAATCTGTTAGTGTTGTGATGCTGGCGATGTTTGTGCCGCAAACATATGACCCAGGAGAATAGGGAGATTAGTGTTTCAATAGGGAAATTTTATCTGAACAATAAAAATGATGGCCAGGTCACATAAATGTGTCTCCCAATAGCCTCCTTTCTACTGATGTCCACTCACACTTAACAGCGTTCAGAGCTGTCTCCTTGCCATCAATGTCTAACTCTCTTACTGACCTGCCAGCAGGGTTTCCTCCCATCCAGCTGGGTCCCCTTAGTACCTAAGGATCTAATAAATAAGCATTTCATTTCTTTGTCCATTTCTGCTTCACATCCATGGCCTGCCTTCTTCTCCAGGCCAATGTGAGGCTTCCTAATTATTACACGAAACTTAGCTGCATGTTCCAGTCCACAGAATTTGTTGCACTCTCCCCTTCTTTAAGGACACCCACCGAAAACTTGGTGACTGGTCATTCATCAGCGGGTACTCATAAACTATTTTTTGCTGTTCTTAGTCAACTTGAACTCAAGGAATCATGAATTCTACTTCTTGAGCTCCACAGGGTGTCCTATCATATATAGCTGTCCAATTAATGAATTCATTGATTTGATTCAACCTCAGAAACTAAAAAGTATTTGGCAGCTCAAACCCATAAAGCTATAACAGATCTCTGTGCAACTTTAAAATAAGAGGGACATTCATTTGCTCAGGACAGTTTCAGCCTTATCTGGAAGTAAGCATATAGACTTACTAGATATCTCTGACAGTCCTTTCAAAGGGGGTGGCTCTGTCTGTTGACTTGCTATGTGGGCAATCCTGAATTGTCTGTGGATTAGCTGGGATTTATCTTTCATATCAGTCACCAGGCTCAGCTTCTACCACAGCCATGTTGAGTCGGTCCTCTCTTAAAGGACATGTATGACAACATTAGCCCAGGTGATATGTCATTAGGAAAGTGTGCCTTTTTACAACCCCAAATAATGAGAAATTCCAGACCCAAATGGAACATAGTTACGGAGTATTTCCTATTTCTGTTCCTGTTATTCTCCTCACTACAGCTAGATGTTTGACTGTCCTCTAAGCCTAGGGTCCCCAACCTCTGCACCATGGACTGGTGCCAGTCCTGGCCTGTTAGGGACCCAGCCGCATAGTAGGAGGTGAGCTTGAATGCAATGTGCTTGAATCATCCTGAAACCACCTCCCCTCCCCCAGCCTCTCATCCGTGGAAAAACTTTCTTTCACAAAACCAGTCCCTGGTGCCAAAAAAGTTGGGAACCGCTGCTCTTAACCACTTTCGTTGCTGTCACCTGTGAAACTAGCAATGAATTTTGCTGAAGGGGAAGCTTATTAGCAAGGGTAGTAATGCAGGTTATTTGGAGGACACTCATTCTGAGTCTTGAGTCTGAGTGAGGTCTAGAAAGCAGTGGAATATTCCATGTGCCCCCCGCCCCCACAACACACACACACACATGACTTCTGCTGCCCCCAGGGCCTGCTTCTCCTATAAGGGTTGGAAGCTGCCTGACAGAGGCTGGCTGAAATCAGAGAAATCCTGGCTTTAGGTCTTTCAGAAAAGTGACCCCAGTATTTGAGGAATGATGAGGATGGAATTAAAAATGAGTAAAAGTGGAAAAAATGGAGTGCTGGTCAAAATGTAGACAGAGCAATAGTCACAAATATAACAGTCACACAAATGAACACCTGTTACGGGAGAAGAGGGAATCAGTGCTTGGTTCCCAGTACTTGGTTCTCTTTTCCTCCATTGCAGATGTTCACTTGTGTGACTGTTATTTTTGTGACTATTGCTCTATCTACATTTTGACCAGCACTTGGAACACTACCTCTGGGCAAGTTAAATGAAAGGTTGTTTTCCCGGATGAAGTAAACTGGCAGAAATTTCCATTGTTCATCAAATTTGGTGCAAATGGTTTGCCTGACCTAGATATTTTGGGGTCCGGGATATACTTCTGAAAAAATAAGTGCTGTTGCTTGCTCCAAGTAGAAAGTGGCCAAGGAGACAGCTAATTGATACTTCAAGTTTTTGTTTTCTATCACTATGTGAAAAGATAGCCTACATTGTTCAGGAAGGAAGACCAGTCAGCTTTGCTGGATTTCCAATGCTTCCCAGATTTTGCACTATTAGCTTATTTTTTCCAACATGGTTCCATAATAACAATCCACTCCTTTCCCTGCTCTCCTGGCCCCTCACGATATTTTATTATGCACATGCTGAAAGAAAAGGTGTCTGTGCATACTGTGCCTCTTCATTTGGCTCCAGGGATTTCCCTTTGATTTGGAAAGAATAATCTTTCAAATTCCGCTATAAAATATACAGGAGAGAGAAAAAAGATTAAGCTCCAGGAATGAGCACCAGTGTTGACATTTAGTTCAAAGAATGAACTGAAGGTAAATTTTCTTTAGTATTGCTCAAGTGAATGATCCACTACTGTAAGTCTGAGTTATCAGCAGTGTTGCTCACCACGGATTTATACAGCGTGGTTTAACTTTCTCTCCATCCTTCAAGATACTAAAACATAGCTAATATGCGGCAGCTACCTGCAGGACACCAGGAGCAACTCCACAGCACCCTAATTGCTCTCTCCCTGGTTCTGCCCAGAATATTTATGGTGAGTAGCCAGTTATCTCTTCTTTGGCAGCCGGCCCTGCTTTCCTGTCGGGTGGAATTGCCTGCATTCGCATTTGCAAACAGGCTCACTCAAGTGTCACTAAAGGAAGAGGAGGTGGAGCCAAAAGGGCTTTAAAAAGGAAAGGGGAGTCGCTCCACTTTTCAAAAAGAGAAACGGTGTTTGGGGAGGACTCGGATCTCCATATTTCTTCTTTCAGCTTCATCAAGTGTTGTGGCTGGAACTTTCCATCAATTCTTTCCTTTTTTTTTTTTTCCCCTCCCTCCAGCCTTTGCCTGCTGGGCTCTGTCTGTCACAGCGAAGTCCGAGGCAGGCCTCCAGAGTGTGCAGGTTAAATTGCGAAATGTGTCATAAGGATGTCAGGTATTTCTTACCGGTTTCCCAAAAACTTAGATAAAGAAATCTTTCCTAGAGTGTCCCTTTCAGGTTGCATTTGGACACTGTCTTGAGTTGAAGCAGAAGGAGGTGGAGGGCAACAGCAAAGAGCCCAGGAAAAAATGCCCCAGGGCTGCAGGCCAAGCTGGGTGAGCACGCCTTGGGGCAGACGTACCCTCCTTGCTATGCTCCGCCAAAGTCAAGTTATTTTCTGTTGAAAGTTCAAGCCCATCAAGATCATGCTGCTCCTCCTTGTCATTCTGTTGCCAGCAGTTTTTCAGTTCGGGTTTGTTAGTGTCTCAGCAGTCCAGCGCTGGAACTGCCCCTCAGGAAATGGGGATTCTACTTGTGTGGGTAAGTAAATTTCACTAAAAGGAATTCACATCTTCCTGGAAGCTGCCCTCAGCTACCTGTTCATTTTGTCTCCTAAAGTTGGGCACTTCTTTTCTGATTTGTCTTTGGGCATGTATATTTGCTTAATTTTTGTTTTCTAATGATTGTATAGCTTTTTACTGCCTGTTAGAGCTAATCTGCTACTGGCTATAAAATTCTTGATTCTCAGGCTGTTCTACCATATGGGGGTAAATGTGTTTCATTTTAAACTAGCTACACACTTCTGTTCACATCTTTATTCTGACATAAGGAGTAACTAAACACTTAGTTGATCAGTTTTATATTGGAAACTAAGGAAACAGACAGTGCTTTTTTTTTAAACTGCCTCTCTTTGAGGCATAAAGAAAAACACCCTCTAATAGCTTTGTGTAAGAACTCAGAAGTTCCTAAAAAACATCAGTGAAGAAATGGATGAAAATTTGGAACAAATAGGATTCTATTATGAAAGCCAAGCTAAGTTTCACCTTGCACTGCCTGCCCTTCCGCCCCACTCTTTCCTTTCTGAAGCTCTGACACAGCTCCAGGTTTTTAGTGACAGGTGCATCGTCACTTTGAGAACTGCTAAGAAATAACAATATGCCACATGCCCCTCCCATATTAAGTGGGTTTTTAATTCAGAAGAAGGGAGAGTTGTACTGAATGCAAAATAAAAATCCTGCTTAAGGACATTGCCTGAAAAAGACCTCTCTCTCTCTCACTTTTGATTCACTTTATGACATCCCTTTTCATCCATTACAGAGCATGAACTGCCCTGACATTCTTTTCTTGCCATTTTGCCTTTTTGAGAAGGGATCTGGCCCTCAAAAAGAGAAAAACTGAGAAAATCATAGTAAAGTTTCCAGGAGAGAAATCTCTGGAAGGCAGCAGAAAGCAGAGGGAATAAAGAGAACAGTTCTGAGCCAGACCGCTGACGTCGGGCTCCTGGCCTGGCTCTCTCATGAAGGAAGGTACGGGGAAGTCAGGTGCTCCCGCTCTGAGTCTCGGGACTCTGTCTCCAGGCCCCGCTCTCGTGCTGGTATAGTGTCTTACTGGCTGTTAGAGCAGACCAGGTGAACAGAACCCTAGGTATCGGAAGAAAGGGCCAAATTCTCATGATCTCGATGACCACGGAAGCTGGAACATTTCCATATTTGTGTCATGTGCTCAGTAAATCATGCTGAATGAATGAGGAGTCTTTCCTTGAATTGCCGATCACAGTTTTAGAAAACAGCAACAAAAGTGAGTGACTAAAGACAAAAAAAAAAAAAAAAAAAAAAAAAAAGACCTCTCAAGCTTGTTGCTCAGCTGTTGGGGGCAGAAGTGAAAACTTTTGGACACAGACATGTCGACTGGCCTGGAGCTTCCCTGGGGTGGGTGAACTGTCCTGATGTCCTGAGAGTAGCTGGCAAACAACTAGAGTCAGTCACTACCATTTGCATGGGACGTGAGGGGAGATGGTGGGAGCCAGCCACAGAGCAGAACTTGAGACGGAAAAAACCAGTAGAAATGAACTTTTACACATAGCTTTACAATCTCTGGAACAACCCGATTCCTCCTAGCAAGTGAAGTTGTGCTCCCCATCACTCCTGCCCGCGGCTCAGACGTGTCCTTATGGGGCTGAATGCCCCAAGTAAACCTGAAGGCCAGGACAGAGACAAGGAGTTAAGGGCGCTGTCTCAGAGTGGCAGGAACACAGGTTTTACAGGCAAATACATTTCATTTCAAATCCGTGCTACCTACTGGATACTTGAGTTATACTAGAATACTGTGGGGAATAATACTTCCCCTTTCAGGATTGTTACAGGGATCACATGAAATACCACCTGCAATGCCCCTAGCACAGAGGCTAACAGACTGTGCTCAATAAATGTCCTCTTGGCTCCATGACTTGGCTAAATTTCTTTGATCAAATCACACCCTGAGATGCCTCATTGGAACAGTGCAGTGGCAGGCCGCAGACCTCACGTGGTGTGGAATGTCTGGGTGCCTCCTTGTGACTCTGCCTCTTTGCTACTTTGATCCTTGCATGTCGCTGGTTTAAACCCCCTACTTTACAGTCCACGTCTCCTGTTAGCTGATAACTGCTTGGATCACACCCTATGCCCGTTGCATTTCAGAGGATAGTATTTCTCCTTTCTAAATAGATATGGTGCCATCATCACCCTCCCCCCGCCCCCACCATTAAATCCTACTTGTCTTATTTCTTGCCCTTGGCATTGAGGCAGACAACCTCTGGCCAGCCTGATCCAGCAGAAAGAATGCTTTGTGGTCCGACAAGATTCGGGTAACTTTATGCAAGATTGTCACTCATGTGACTGCTAGCCAGATAAACCAAGTGATAATACAGAATTGGGTTTTCTTTCATTATCCACCCACCCTGCCCCTCCTGTTGTTGTTGTTGTTGTTGTTACTGTTGTTGTTTTAAATCAACTGAGTATTCTGTGAGCTTCTGTTTGAGCTATAGTAGGCAAGAAGAGCAGTAAAGAAAACTGCTGGCAAGTGGCTTCAGAACTAAGCCTATTTGCCCTGGAGGGGAAATATCAGTTGAAAAAAGGAACAGTTCCTGTTTGCTGTCTGTACCTGCATTATTTGCATGAACTTTCTTGGTAAAATAAAAGGTAAAGAATAAGTACAGGTCAAGCCTTAGAGCTGGCTGCAGGAGGGATCATGGGGCACTAAGTTAGCCAACTGACAGGCCTCTATGGTCCAGGGCCTCCCTCTGCCCCCAGCAATCCAGTTTATTGATCCCCTGGGGTATAAAACTGTAGCTTCCTGATGGAGCAAATAGGCTTATGCTCCCCAGTTTATAAAGCTCAAAGTTTCAGTCCCTTTGCTCCCCATTCCTATTAATAATTAGTTAAATACTGACTGTGACATATCTGAGTCAAAGTGTCTTCTGGGGGGTGAATCCAGGCATCATTTTCTTCATTATTCTCCCTTGGTAATGGGCAGCCTCAGTTTAAGACCACTAAGTCAGTACACATAGAGTGCATGCAACAGAGCCTGGCCTGTAGTTGGCACTCAGTAAATCGTAGCTGCTATTAACATTTTTATTACTGTTAAAATAATTTTTATTGGTGGTAATTGTATGAATATTTTCTACACGTGGCTTGGTTTCTTCTGTAATAATTGAGATTTTTTTATACTTGGGAAATACCACATTGAAAAATCTGAGATAGCTTCACAATATTAAAAATTGTAGTGGAGATAATTTTAACATTCATAGCTTATATTTTCATGACTCAAAGTAATGTTTATTAAAAATACAAAAACTTATCAAACCAATTTGAGTAAATGTCCTTGTGGAACTGCAGGTCCAATGTTTGTCTTTCTGTGATACCAACAGATAAAAAATTCCACTGACTGCAAATTAAATATACTTGTTAAATTTCTTACCAGTAATAATTTTATTTGACAATGGCAGCAAAAACAAGGCACTTGAAAGTGATAATTTAAATTTCATATATATTTTGCTTCTTATTTGGAACCCATTTCTCTACAATTTTTAAAAGATGTTGAAGGCATATATAATAATTCTTTAAATGAATTTATATTTTGGGGCTCGTATGGAGTTTTTCAAATATATGACATTCAATTTAGCAGTCAGAAGGTGAGAATTTTTTGTGTTAACAGTAGAGCAAATAATTGATTGTTTCCTATTAAAATAAATGTAGCATTTTGGTTTAAAATTAGCCTTCATTAATATCCATTTGAAATAATTTCTTGTTTAATATGAATGGTTTATTTTTATATCAGCAGTCAGTCCTAACTCCATTCCATCTATAAAAAATTAAAATATGGACATACGCTTTCAATATGTATGTATATTTATCAGCTACCTGTTACATATACTACTATTATGAACATTACACAACACATAATATTTCTAATATTTTCTTTCCATACAATAGTGAACCTTCTTACAGTCTGTAAGTGATATGCATCCTATTTGATAGAGACTGTTCTAGAGAAGTAATAAAATGATGGAGCAAATACTTTATTCTTCCTGGCTCTTAGCTCCTTTCGCTTAGGCATGAAGAGATAAGCAAAAGGATTGCTTTTTCTTTTTCTTTTTTTCTGCCAAGTAAAGGGGAGTTCTTCATAGTGAATGACTTTTCTCAGAGTGTGTAATGGAAGACATAAAAATGTGCTGAGATTCTCTCATGAGGACCAGGAAGAGAGACCACACTCCTAAAGATGGGCTAGGATTTCAGGAATTTCAAGACTCCATGGTGCTGGAGTCACCACATCTTAGAATTTTAAAATAAAAATGGCCTTTGCCTTCAGGCTATGTCCTGAGGAAACCCAGAGTGTCTCTCCTAAGACAGAGGATTTCTGGGCATGGGAGTGCTGACGTGGAAGGGAAGGCTCTCGTGTTCCTGCTGGACCTTCCTCTGAATTACTGACCTTCCACGAGCCTCGCTTCCATCCTGTACCGTTCCTTCCCCACCCTTCACAACCTCATGCCGACACAACCCTGGTTTACTTCTAGAAAGAGCCACTGCTATGAGCCGTGAGGGGATAGGCTTTAACTGAAAGTTTGGGGCAAAAAAATCCTGGCCACATCCTGATCCAGCACATTAAACAACTATTTTTCATTCTTGTTCTTAATTCATTCTTGTTCTTAAATTTTAACTGATTGTTCTCTGTGGGAAGACTTACCAGCCATCTTTCTTGGGTGCCAGCCTTTTGCCATCCTGGCTGACTTTGGTGAGGTTGACTTGCACCAAGCCCTCTTTTCTCGGCCCCTTGATCTATTTCAGAAGACCTACATACTCATGCAGAACATTTTAGATTTCTTCCTCCTCTTCCACTTCTATTTTCCTGATCATATCCTGGGCCTCTTTTTTTAAATGAAAAAAAAAAAAAAAAAGAAACAAAAACAAACCCTAAAAATGACAAAATAGAATACTGAAGTATTTTAATAAACAAAATAATTGTTTCTTAGAAGAAAATTCTGTCCATGGTTTTAAACCAAATTT